ATCATATCCTAAATAAAAATATTTATTAATAAATTAATTAAATAATATATTTTTAATAAAATATATTTATTATACTTCTTATCTTAATTACTTTTAGTTCATTTTCATTTGGATAAATTCCTTGAATTGATTTATATTCCTTAGCAAGAAGAAATAAAACTGATTCTAAAGTAATAAATTGATATAAACTAGCAGATTTATTAACTAAATTTTTAATATTTTCCATTATACTTCGAATTTTTTTGACTGATTCATTTGTTAATTCTAAGCTTTATTGAATAATAATGTTCATAATATGAGCTGCACAATGGTAGTAAGCAAAAATCAACTGTGATAAATCATTTTCAATCTGTTTTGCAATTTTTCATCCACATACAATCATTACTGATGCATTATCAGTTGTTATTGCTAAGGTTTTTTCTAATAAATTGTGTTCTTGTAATGTATCTATAATTGTATTAGCTATATTGATACCTGTATGACTAATTTTAAAAGATATAATATCTAAAAGAAAATTGCAAAGATTCCATGAAAAATCTATATAATTTCTAGAAATGCTTCTCTGTTAATTGTTGAAGTCCACATATTAGCAATTAATGCTATTTTTCCTGGAATACTTGCTAAATCAATGCTAATCTTAGCACGATGAGTATTAAATATCTCAATATCTTTAACTTCGTATCTATTGGGAATTTTATAACGAGGACAAAAATAAGATAACATTGCATGAAAATATGTGTTCTCAACAACCATAAATGGTTAAAGATCACAAATTATCCATGTAATTGAAAATTTATTATGTTCAATTTGTTCAGATAAATTAAAGGGATTAAATTGTTTTGTTATTGAAATTGCTTTGTTTTTTTTTCGTTGATACTTCAAGTTGATGTTTTCTAAGATAACTTCGAAGTGTTGAAACACCAGAAGTAGGTTTATATAGCTGGTGACATATTGTGCATTGTGTTTCCATAGGTGTTTTTACAAAATGCAGCCAGACAGTTTAACTAATTGCATTAAGAATACTTATATCAGATACGATAATAGTTGCCGAAATTTAACTCATTGATTCATCTGGTTCAATACTTTCTTGTCTTTCGAAACTAACAAACTCAAAATCTTCATCCATTACAAAACAAATAAAAATAAGAATAATTAGCATTTTTAAATTTATTTGACCAATAAAATCGTCAAACTTAGAGATTATAGTACAAATAAAATATTCATTAGTCTAAATTTATCAAAAAATTATTTTTTATATAATCAAAATAATTAAATTAATCATTTTTTATGTCAAAGAATATATCACTATCACTAACTAAATACTGCATAAAACTGAGATGATCTCAGTTTGAACCGGTTTATTCAGTTTGGATCAGTTTATGCGGTTTGATCAGTTTGAAACCGGTCTCAAAAACTGGTTTCGAACCAAATATAAACTGAACTGACACATCTCTATCCGTAATTCAAGAGAAATATTAAATTGTTCTTTTCGCGTAATTGTTAAATTATTCTTTGAGAGATTTATATAGTTGGTATATCTGTAACCCATACTTTATAAGTATGTCTTTTGTTCTTGTTAGTAATTGTTTCACAATGAAGCAAAAACGAAAAGAATTAGCTGAAAGTGAACGAAGTCAGATCGTTGGTGCTTGGCAGTGTAATACATATATTTCTACTATCGTAGAAAAACTTGAATTCGCGAAATCAACAGTTCAAGATGTAATTACATATTATAAGAATTCTGAAGAAATAAAACCTCCTGCTCGAAGCGGAAGACCACCTATTTTAACTAAACGTGATACGCGACATTTATTTCGTATTATCAAAAATGATAAAAAAGTTACTTTAAATGTTTTAGAAAATGAATTTTTGCAATCTACGTCCATTGAAGTTTCTACATGCACTATACAACGGTATATTCATATTGAAGATTTTTTTGCAAGATTGGCAAGAGAAAACCATTTGTTAGTGAAAAAACAGAAAATTCGACTTGCATGGACAGACGAAAGGCTACATTTCATTGTTTGAAGTGATGAATCTCGTTTTGAAGTGTTTGGAGGTAATGGCCGTAGTTATGTTTGGATACTTTCTAAAGAAAAATATGATATAAACTATCTTATACCAACATTTAAATCTGGTCAGAGAGGTATAATGATTTGGGATGTTTTAGTTTAAATGGTGTGGGTCTGCTAATACGACTTGATATATGACAAAATGCAAATAATTATATATTAATTGTATAAATAAATAATGGAAATATTAAGCTTTAAAAAAATTCTATTTTAAAAAAACTCGCAAGTTTTTTAAAAATCGTAAAATTAAATTTCTCTTGAATTACATATCATTACCAAATTTGGGGATGCATTAAAACGTTGTACCTTCAGATAATCCATCCAATGAGGATGCGAAAATTTTGTTGGACACCAATAAATTTTGATCATCCTGGCAAAATAAATCCTGCACAAGAAAATCAAAAAGGCGAATAATGTGAAAAATACGGAAAACGAATGGGTAATACTGGCTTGAAAGATTAATTAAAAATGTCGGGAAGACAATTTTACATATAACCTTTACTCAAATCCTAACCCTTATCCTAACCTTGTAAAGCTTGACCGGTGATTGATCACGTGAATACAACATTTTAACCTATTGTTACCAGGTTAATAATAATTTCACTAATCGCTCGATTTCAATAAAATCCGCCTAGCCCGATTTCGTTAGTTTAAATTCGCTGTTGAAATTCTATCTTAATTTCGCTTTCTATTCTTTTTCAATCTTAAATTCTATCTTAAACAATAGAGTACGTTATGCAACAAGATCCAAACCAATACTTCATAATGTAATCAAAAATACATATATATAGACCTTGCAGATGTTAATAAAGAAACAGAATTAAATTGTGTACAATTCTTCTCCAAGAAATTAGACTTGTAAAATTGTTGTAATTGATTGTGATTAGATTCTTTGATCCAGAAAAGGTATTGATATTATTAATGGCATATTGATTGATTGATTAAGAAAAGTACTTTGTGATTAAACAGTTTAAAACTTTTAGCTAGTAAAAGTAACAATTGGAAATTAATAAGAAGAATATTATCAATAATCTGTCACATAAAAACTTAAATCCAAAAACATCTTACCTGACCAAAACTGTCAAAAAAACCAACCCAGAAGAGCCAACTACCATATATCATCAAATTAAAAGCAGACCAACACCTGATCTAAAATTCTGAAAAAAAGTCTGATTCAGTTCAAGTCTAATTTAGTTCGAGCTTGAACCTGACTTGAACCTGATCAAAAGTCCAGTTTGAAAATTTGAACCTAATTAAAAGTCTGGTTTGAGTTCAGTTCAAATTTTGAATCAGACTCAAACCTAATTAAAAGTTCAGTTCGAGTTCAAGTAAATATTTGTTAATATTCTAAGTAAAGTTATAGATCATAACATAAGCTACAAATTGATATAAAATTGTTAATATTTAGAATAAATATTTAAGAAGTTATATGAATTTAAAAAATAATTTTAATTATTATAATTTTAATTTGCTTTAATTTTAGTAT